CCTACAATCAATCAACGATCGCAGCATTAAACTTCATTCAACCGGCGTTATACATAAAAGAAATAACCCATCACAGAAACTTGCAAACGATCCATTAAGTTGGAACGACTCATAATGGTAACTACAAAAATCCAGAGTAGACTTAAGCGAAATGAATTGGTATTGTTATTTTCGATATTGAACTCATAAAATTTCCTGCTAGAACTTTCTATAATCTTTCCAATACATACTGTGATGTACAATAAATTTTCTTTTACAATTTGTGCCAGAAGATAATAACGTAGTTATAAAAAGTTCTGACGAAGGCGCTGCAAAAATATTAACGATTCTAATTTTCTCCGTAGTATATATCGAATTTCTGCACTAGTTTCAATTTTCAACGTGGTGCATAAGCATGCAACAAAAATACTATTACTAAAAAACATGCAGCAGAAGCAATTTTTAGGTATGGATTTCAAGACATTTTCTTACTGTGAATTTCTTGAAGTGTAAGTAATGTATCACGGCCAAACAAATGAACGTATATCAATGCAATTCAAATATACGTATATAAATATACAAATATACTAAAACAACAGCAGTAAAAGTTTAAGTATACATAAATAACTATATTTACTCTCTTCAGTGAACCATTTCGCTTGCTTTGAGGCAATTCTTCAAACTCACACATTGTAATAAATGATACGCGTGATCAACAATAGACAAACTTGCACTATGAATAATTCACAAAATGCAGCGGATTTTAAATAATTTTATGTAATCAACACAAAACTTGCTTAATTTTTTTTCCTCAATCAAAACTAAGTTTTATAATACAAAATTGTTGAGGTTTATAAAAAACTTGCAACAACAGGGAGGTTCAATGACTAAACTTCAAGAATTAAACTAAAGTGAAGAACTAAACTGAAAAATAACGTGCTTACACAACTTCCATGAATGTTAAAAATGCATGCAGAGCATACACATTCAATTGTTTGAACGGGATTTTGAGAAGCTATATTTTTAATTATTGGAATCTTTTTCAATATCAGTTCTAAAAAAGCATGGCAAGCAAATATATATAATTTGTATGATCAGCATTTTCAAATTAATGCGCGATAGAATATGAAACTTAAAATAATATTTTTTTATTAGTTGTCTTTATGGATAGAGGTGAAATATATATATATATATATATATATATATATATATATATATATACCGTGTAAATTATACCCGAAGCATAGACAAATGACACTATTAAATGAGTCATTGCCTCGAGATAGAGCTCATTGAGCAGGGTTAACTACTGATATACCAAAAGAACCAGCGTTCACGACCAGGTCATATAACAATGACAAATTAAACTCAATTATTTGTAATTGAATACGACCATTACGACTTGGGAAAATATTATTTGATAGATATTTGCTATATGCGTCAAACATGAGAAAATTTGATCCATCCACACCATATAACATTTATTTTATCATCAATTGAATATGAGGCTACTTAAATTAGTATAAGCTAATGAGAAGTGTCAATAGTATTATGTAAAAGTAAAATGACATAATTGAACAAATACTAATAAGTAAAAAACATTGACGATGTGAATAAATATACAGTATTGAAACCGGTACTAGTTCTTTTTTTACTCGATCCTTCCGTGATCATGAAAGTGAACGCTAAAAACGAAAAGCATAAAATCGGGTCAATACCGCGAGATAGCTATTACGCAGTGTTTACAGGATCAGCACGATTGTATAGTAAACAATGAACTTATGTTTACATTGACGAGACTTTGAAGATGAACGCTTAAAGAAGCCAGGCATACAACCAGAGCGTTAAGAACAACGAACATATTAATTTATCAAATAAGTTGCATTATGCAATAAATACAAATTTAGGCCTTCTTATAAATAAGCCCTTCATTCAAATAATAAAGTTTATCTTATATATAAAAATGGATCGCAAAATATGTTGGTAAGCGCATAACTCAACAACGCCTGGACCAATTTGGCCAATTACTTTTTTTAAATGTTCGTTGAAGTCCAAGGATGGTTCTTACGGCGAGAAAAATTTGAATAATTGCCGGGGAAACCCTGAAATAAGCCCTTTTCTTTTTTAATCGAGTAGGCAACGAAATTTGTAGAAAAAACAATGATCTATGTATGTCATGACATTTTGTGTAGTTTTTGATATTCTAATTTTTAATATATTTATATAAACATAGAAATATCTTTCTATTAATTAACGAGCTATATTGGCAGCCAAAAACATTGATGTAAAATGAATTAAAATTCAAAATTCAAGAACAAATTACAGGCGAATCAGTTGATTCGGTAACTAACCAAATCGACCCACCGGAGTTTTCAAACTCGCTGGATTTGCTAGGATTGTCGCATCCCAATGTTTCCGACTGATGTGCCATTTGAGATTAAACGACTACAGTTTCCAGTGCGTTTATGGTATCATTAAGTGTTTGTGGTATTAATTTGGAAAACCCATGTTTCTCACATGGAAAATTGTATGTTGTCTGTTCTCGTATTGGAAAACCATCAGATTTGTTTGTTTATGTGTCAGGTAATCAAACAAAAAACATCGTTTATCACAAAGCACTACAATAAAAATTGAACTGATTTTTTAATTATGATTTACATGATTAAAATTACTTACTTTTAAATGCTTATAGTGTTTTAATTATTTTTTATTATTTTTAGTATTTTTTGCAAAGAATAGAAAAAAGGTAGGAGCAAAACACCGCCACATTACAATTTTTTTTGACAGAACGAAGTCTGGCGGGTCGGCTAGTTTTAAATAAATTGATCAAAATCAAATTCAAATCAAGCTATAAAAATAAAATATTGAAGATAGTGTTATAAGAGGATACTTTATGCCCAACGCCTGGAAGTTCATTGAATACTATTGAAGAAGTAAAGCAGGAACAGGGGGCCAAAGGATAACTCGTTAGACGTATGTGAATGTGTGATGGAAGTGAGTGCTCCTAACCGTTCGTCTCTATATTTACACGAAACGAGCACTTGGCTTCAAGTGTTGCTCTGAAGTTTTTCCTCTCATCGATTCGCGTTTACTTTAACCAGACTACACACTTTCCCGAGTTTTATTTTATTTATTAACAATTATTTAATTGCCAACAGCAAGCAATTCTTATCAAAAATTGCTATAAACATCGGAAAGCTTTTACTGCGCAAACGAGTCGGTATGCAAACATGTTTATTTTAATGTTTCTTATCACACTGTAAATAATTTCTTATTAGTATAAAAAAAAAATTTCAAGCAATTACGATACGCAAACTAAAACAATAGCCAACTCTGAAACAAAGCTTATTTATTCTTCATAAGAAATACCAGTACAAATAAAATATAGAGGAGCTAGGGGCTTTTTGCGACAGGGGTCAGTACTAAAATGCATTTTTCAATAGGATCTTGAACAGTATTCAATTTTTTGTTCCGATTGGACATGCAAACCATCCTGCATAATATTGCGGTCATACTAGCCGACGCAATATACAGAACTGTGCACGTCCTTCATTTTTGACATGTAATGTCAAAGTTATTATCGACTAACTTAAAATTTCGTTTCAAATTCACAATCCTTGATCATGTGTAACAATTTTTGTTATAGGTGAGTAGTTAAAAACTAGATTAATGTAAAAAAAATCACACCTCAAGTTAAAATATCATGAGGCTAGTTGATGATGATGCCTACATATTCAAGCGAAGAAGATGGGGTAGAATGTATAGTTCATTTATGGAATTATTTTTACTTGATTAGTTACAGCATATGTAGATCTTTATTTCGTACAAACATAATCACTGAATCTCAAGATATATCAATTTAAAAAAAAACTGTTACAACAACCCCCCCTATGGGAGGAAGTCTGAAATCTAAAACGAATATAGAGCCATAATAATATAATTATAATCATAGTAAAAATAAAGAATAAATACATAAAAAAGTAAAGATCATGCGTATTTTTTTCTGTTAAACATATCTGTTTCGTGCAAAAATCGTATTTCAAAATATGTCACGAAACACAAACCTCTATATTGATTTCTCAACATTGGGGCAAATATAAAGTAATCCAATCTTCAAAAACACATATTCGATGCCAAAGCGTGTATATATAAGGATTTGCACATCAACGTGCAGATACAATATAAGGTAATATTGTCTTGCGCAATATTTCCCGGGATCGAGATTACATACGACACGAGCTAACATGAGGAAGCAATGGACTGGAGTCGGTGAAAAATGGTCATTTTATAAGGTTAACTTGTTAACGTGACATGAGCATAAGTGAAATTGAAATTGTTACGGCGCGCCCAGACCGCGGTGCATTCCGTTTGAGCATCGCTCGGGTGTTCTAGTTTCCCTTTTCTCATGCAATGCAACAACGCACGCCCGCGGTACGTAGCCTCAGCTCAGCTCAGCTCAGAGTTCAACATTTATGCGAAATGCCTGCACGACTATCCCTCGTCTTGACCAGTTATCAATACTTAAACAATCGTTAACCTGAACGATAACATTTATTTATATGCTTCGCTTATGCGAGCAACTCAAATATAACCGTACCGACGAGATGCTGCAATAAGACTTCTATGAATTATTAATACGCTCATGAAGTACTAGAAAATTTATAAATACTACAACCCTGAACGTTGATAATCTTTGGAAAATAGAAAGGTAGAAGTCGAACATTACTTCGCTTAAGTATATCGCAATATATTTAATCGGATCGAGCAAAAATGATACAGCAATTAAAAACCCATTAGGTATTAAAACTCTATGAATCACCTGAGCATATAGACATAAACTGACAAAGAATAATCCTAATTCGTGATAACACGACTAGTTTCCGACATGATGAATATTGGATTATAATTTTGAGGGCAAGTTAATCTTACTGCCAACATAAAATGTTTATAGCCAAATCGATGAATTATTTAATGAAACATAAGCATAATTTAACCGCCGAACAAGAGATGAAATTTCTTACCTTGACTCCAATATGCACGGGAGGGAAGTCACCGTGCAGTGCTGGTGGCAACAGAGGCAGTGGCATGGGCAAAGGACAGGACATCATGGTCGCTACCTGAAACCAGAGAGAAAAACCGTCGTTATGATAAAAGCTCGTATGATATATCAAATATCCTGTTAGTAAGCTATAGGGCATTCAAAAATTGCGTACTTCTGACGCCGCAGACTAAATGCCTTCGGTGAATTTCTTTAACCCTTATTTAGGGGTTCCGCTGATCAATTTCCGAAACAATTTGCCTCTAGCTTTGAAGTCAAATAAAAAATTCGCTTTATGTAAAAGCAATAAGAGTTCTCTAATAGTATATAGAGTCGTTAAGAAATGTAAAATGATAAAAAAAAGTTGAGCGCATATGACAAATACATACTCGAATTGTGCCTATCTTATCCGCCTCCGAATCTGCGAGAAAAATCCGCTTCAGACAGGAGTTGTATCCGCTCAACAACTCCGATGACTCCGACCACATGTTTTCTTTCGTGTGTTCCCGTGGGCTGTTTTTTTCAAATGTCCTATTAAATTTCCAGTATTCGGAGAAGTAGATAAAAATCCTCACAATAATTGCTTTAGCATTTTGATGATGATCGTTTACAGATTTAGCTATACGGAGAATATACACAATTACGAACGGAAAACTTGTTATAATATTATATAATTATAATTGTGTAAAAATAATAATATAATACTAAATATTTATTGCTGTTTGTATACGATTGATATTACTGATAAATTTAAGAAACTGAGGTCTAGTTATTTCGAGCTATGGAAAAAATAGATTCAATGGGTTTGTATAATTTTCGACATTTCTAGTTGCGGTCATTCACGGAGAAGGAATATCGTAGTTATGACCAATTAACAATTACTATTAACAAAATTATGCATTTGATCTGTTCACTCTTGAACTTATTCATTGTTTGGTATCTTTGATATATATTTTTGTATTTTTTAAAATTCACACAATGAAAGTTTTTGGAGTCATTTTATACCTAAAAAATCATAAAATTGCCTGTGGGACAAGAAAGAGAGTTTTTCATAAGCAAAATTTGTACGTGTTAACAGATTTAGTACCAGTTTATGGTACTAACTCTGCTCGGATTTACTCTAAAACATATTCATAATAAAACGTAATAAAAAAAAATTATATATTATACAATGATTGCACTCTAAAATTATTTTAACAATTGTTAAACAATTTTTGCTTAATTTATAATTTAAGATTTTTTAATTATTCTTTTTCTTTGATTATTACAGTTCGTAATTATAATGTTTTCAAACAGAATGCTGGTATGCAATACGTACGACATACTTCCACCCAGCAACCAAGCAAAACGACAAGGTAAGATTGAAATCTGATTTATTAAATTTCCTCATAATAGCTTTATGCTAATTTCTTACCGTGATTCACATAAAAAGGATTTGGGTTCGTTCCATCTTAAAGATTCTACCTAACCGAATGTACGTAAAGGTCTTATTATTATAAGATGATGGAATACAAAGATTTTATCAAAATTTGGATGCTACATAATAATATACAAGAGGTTTGATGTTGTCGAGATACGAGAGACGCTGGTTATGTCTAAACCTTTTCAATATAATTTTCTCATTTCTTCTTATCAGTAATGTTTTCAGAATGATTGAATGAGTATTATAGAAATGTGAAAATGAAGTGAAAATTAAATAAAAGATATGCCTTGTATTATGTTTATTTATTCCAATGTATTTACAAAATATTGAAATAACATCAAGAGTTTTGTGAGAAAAATTAATTAAATAAACGTGTTACTAATAGTAGTTTCTCAAATTTAAATAATTAATCGTGCGATGGTTTTGCGTGTTTAATTTATACGAGTACATCTATGTAAGTTGATTTTCACTATATTAGTGAAAATGAATCACCTTATGAACAAGATGGAAGCCAGACGAAAAAATGCAAACTTATTTATTTAATATTTCTAGATCAAACAAAAACTTACAAGCTACTAGTATAAGATTCTATCTCTCTTCACTTGACATTTAAGAAAAAAACTAGATGTTAGTGGCATTTTGTCTTAAGGTAAGTTGCATGGATTTCCAATACAAGAGAGTAAATAATCGACTTATATTCGGACTATTATTAAAGACTTCAAAACTGTTAAAGTTTAGGATGTTCGTTTAGAGTTAGACCATAATCTCTATCACCATGTTAAGTTTAATTAAGAACGCAAAAAAATCGTTTTTAACATTTTTAATTATGAAGAAACGACCCGGCCGAACATATCCTATTATACAAGGTCCGCCAAATAACCAATTTTTTTGAAAATGCTATAAAAAACAAATTATATTTTCTCAAATTTCTTTTTTTATTTGAAAGTAGAATCCGTCTGGTTAATATTAGAAAATGAGTTGATACAAATGACTAAAAAGCACTTTTATAAAAGTATAAAAGCACGAGCAGTAGTTGGCAAAAAAAAGTTGGATGATAGACCCTTATTATTAGAATAAGAAATTTTTTGCTGATTTTTTATTTTGTGAATGAAGTTTTGAAGATATAAAATCATTTTTACCAATATGGTGTAAAATCCAATTACGTTTTAACTATTAGACAGAATAATAGTAATAACGTACATGGATTTCCTTGAAACGTTTTTAATCTTTTTCCACAAAAGACATGCGTTTCAATCATACTGCGAACTGATATCAATTACTTTATATTACTATTGAATGTAATATAAAATCCTCGATGTACACAATATGTATGTAACGTACACTTATAAAATACTCATATTTAAAGAGCAGTTGTTTTCAATAAGTTGAAAACTTCTATTTAAACATAAAAAGCAATCAATTTCACGAATGTAAAAAAATATATCGACCTTGACCCGCGGGTTTCTTTTGAATCTCAACATTTGGTAAGTGTCTGAAGGCCCAGAATCACCAGTGTTTCAGTTGTACGTTATGCATGATACACCACACACTACTAACTCAACCTTGATTATTCATTCTCGCTTCGTTGAATCGCGACTTCCACGCAATTCTATAGCAAGATAAGAGAGCTTACAAACATTTGAGAACTTATATAAACAAGTCGATATGAAAACCGTATGATAAATTTATTGTTAGGAAATGACAGGTTTGAATTTGTGGAAAGAATTTAATATTTGTTTTAATTTAGCATAAGTATTCTTTAGAATGCTATCCTTAAGCCTCAATTACGGAAATTAAGGAGCACAACTAGTGTAACCGCCTAAAAAAAGGTGAATTTTAGGAATTTATATTAAAAAAACTAATTTATCAATCAATTCAAAATTTTAGGAATATATTTATACATGTTTTAAGAATACATAGTAAAATTTTTGAAAAAAAAAATTAAAAATGTTTTAAGTTATCGTCGATCTCAAACGGCGCGACAAAAAGGCCCTTCACTGCTGCAGTGATTCCAGCCTTCTACGTAAATGAAATTTAAAAAAAAAAATTTCGTTAAACTAGATTATATTGACTGTAAAATGAACTACGATAAAGAAAAAAAAATAAAAAATTGACAAAATGACGGCGTATTTTTAAAAAAAGTCGAATTTTACCCAAAATTTTAGTCGTTTTTGGACTGCCAAAATTCGATTTTTGATCCGATCTAATAATCGATAGTTCATTTTACGGAGAACTATATATAGAGTATGTAAAAAAAATTGATAGTGATCGGATCATTTGTTTTTGATTAATCACTGCAGCAAATTCGGAAAATGCTGTTTCGAGAAAAACTCTTTAAATGGCTGTGACTTAAAAACTATTTAAGATATCGATTTAAAATTTTTGATGTTATTTTTAATCGATATATGAAAAAATTGATCGGTAATCGGTAATCGAAATATGAAAAAATTGAAAATTCGATTTTTTTTTTAAATTTCACACTAGTTGTGCCCCTAACTTTGGGGATATGCCGATATCATACTAATGCAGAGACTTTAATATAAAATTCTCAAAACCATTGCGAATGCTTCTTGGTATGTTATCCTATATGAAAACGGTTAGAACTACTTAGAAAGTTTTTATTAATGAACGATACGCAATAAAATTACGAATAAAGCGATATACAATTAGATAAGTGCATGATACAATTTTTTTGAAATGGCCCAATTTTCCTTAAATTTTAAGAGTCTACATATAATTCATTATGAATTTAGACATTTCATTCGTAAAAGATATTACGAAAGGAACACGTAAATCGCCATGTCGGTCTAATGCAGTGATTCCCAACGGAGGGCAATTTAAAAATTTTGGTGATTTGAATGTAATGTAGTATAATATCGGTAACACATTTAACAAAAAGTGCTACTTAGATCTGACTAAGGTGCCCCGTTTTGGTCAGCACAGTCCAAGTTTTTAACGTTGCTTCCCTGGTGTCGGAGTTATGTTTTTTGTCCAGGGTTGACCTGACATTTTAAAAAGCTCAGCTTGAATTTGAATTTTTCTCATTACTTTATAATAAAATTAAAACTAGCCGTCATAAACTGAAAATGATATATGCGATGAACTACTTATATAAAACTGAACATTATGAAAAAGAATGTTGCGGAATGCAAAAATTTTAAGGATCCAAATAGCCCTTCTAGGGGCTTTAAACTTTCATTTTCAAATTTCTGACTGCTCGGCACATGTTTTTTTTTAAGAAAATATTTTTTTGATCAATTGCGTAGTTTTAGTTTAGCGTTCGTTGAAAAATGAAAAATCAAAACAAACATTTTAGTCATATTTTGCATTTTTATTTCTGCAAAGGGAAAAACAATAATCCCAAAGGTGAGTTGCTATTTAAGGTGTCGAAGCCTTAATAAATATCAAAATTGGTTTGACCAAAAATATCATTTTGGTGATTTTTCACTCAATGCTGCTCTGATTGGCCAGTTAAAGTTGTGGATGATAGCAATCACCGATTCGGATAATATAAACAATTTGGCTGTGTTTAACCATTTTTGGGGCTTGGTTGGAATTTCTCCACATCTACCAGATAATGCAGACCACGATAACTACAAATTTCCGTTCCGGTCGTAAAATAAAAAATATATGATTTAACAAAAAAAAACATGTACAAAAATTAGATATGATTTCGTTCTGAGTTAAGAAAATGTCAGCTAGCTAAGTAGACTCATTAAAAAATGGCTTTATGAAGAAACAAACCAAATGCCCAAATGTAACCATATGTACAAAAATTTGCTATAATTTATTGATAAAAAAGAAAGATTTAAAATAACACAACGTAGAGACTCGAGTTTAAGACTTTGTAAGTTAGAACCTAATATAAAATCTTTGTGCAGCATGCACCAAGCTTAAGTATTCAACATAATTTGTATGTATTTTTCCGTATTTGCAAATTTCTCATAGAGATTTTTGTTATTAAAATATCTTAAGCGCTGTTAATGTATGTTAATGTGACTGTATAAAAAAATGTGTATATAATAAGTGTTCCTTTTTGTATGCTTTACGTGTTTCTTAAAATCTGCAAAATATCTTATAAAAATTTGAAATACAATAATTTTTTTTTTCTAGATGCTCTCTGTCTCAGTTTTTCACATTGAAAATAGTCTTAGATTTTCAAAATTTCCATAATTTTTAC